CTGGAGTCTCGACAACCATTTCTCCAATCATTGAAGACAACACAATACCCAATATTTTCACACAATCAGCAACAATAAAAGAATGTGTAGCACCAGTATCAATAATATCAATTTAAGGAGTACTATTAATGAAACATATATCTCTGATCAATCTATCTTTACTGGATGTGTGATTTCCTACTAAAGCAAACACCTTCCCACCAGATTGAGCTTGCTTTGACTTCTGACACTAAGTACTGATATGTCCATCTTCACCATAATTGAAACATATCATTGCATTGTATTTACAATCAGTCACTCCATGTCCAGCTTTACCACAACGGAAACACTTCTTTACATCGCCTGTACATTCATTGATTCGGTGTCCTAGCTCACCGTATTTGAAACACCTAAGGTTAGGAGGAACACCTCACCCACTTGGCCTCGTACCATCATCAACTTTCTATTTACCCTTGTCAACTGGAGCATTGTAAGGCTTCCCACGGTTCTGATGTGGCTTGCCTCTCCTCTCACTCATAATCTTGTAGTGAGCCTTACTATCCTTTTCATAAATTCTCCAACTATTCACCAACTCTAGAAACCTATGAATCTGCTGATATCTAATAGCCTTCTTAATCTCTAGGGAAACCCATTGTCGAACTTGATGCACTTCAAGAACTCAACAGTCACTTCATTATAATGAGGATATAACTTTTCTAGATCCATGAATCTAACAGCATACTCAGTTACAGAGAAATTCCCTTGTTTAAACTCTAGGAATTCTATCTCTTACTTTCCATGCACATCTTCTGAAAAGTACTTCATCAAAAACTCCCTACTGAAAACAACCCAAGTAATAACTTCGCCTAACGCTTGCAGTCTTTGGCGGGTGCCAACCCACAAGTCATTAGCCTCCTTTTCCAGCATATGCGTACCAAACCTCACCTTCTGTGCCTCTAAGAATTCCATGACCTGAAAGATCCTTTTGATCTCTTTGATCCAATCATGTGTTCCATCAGGATCGTACCTACCCTTGAAAGTAGGAGGATGATTCCTCTAAAATGTTTTCAAGACACGGGATCCATCATTCCCGCCAACATTAGGCTGATGTTGCACAGCCTGGAAAGAAGCAGCAATCTCAATATCATTTCTTCTAGCCACTTCACTGTTTTACAACATCACAGTAAATAATGGTTAGAAGAAACACATGAACAATATTCAACTGTCACACCACACTACAAACTCAAAAACCTGGTCGGACAGACCAACTTGCTCTGATACCACTAATGTAACACTCTAATTTCCCTGAAGAATATTAATATAAAATCAGAGTAATTTTGTTTTCTAAAATAAATCAAATGCAAACAATTAGGATGCTACCCTTCAAATCATATTAAACTTGCTCAAAAGAGTATAATATACATAACACAAATTTAGGGATGAACTGAAACAAAACATCACAGGTCTTCAACTTCCCATTTTATTAAGCAGCGGAAAAGAATCACATTTTCATATCAAATAATCCTCATCTAATTAAAACTAACATTTATTCAAAAACTAAGGAGTTCATAAGACTCCAAAACAAATCATTCAAAACCAAATCAAACAATAGAGCGTTCATCCCATGGGTGTTACATATCAGAGCAATGACACTAACTCGAAATAACTGAGGAGCAACATTTTCTGATCCTTACATCCTCAGATTACTCCTGAATATCTGCACGATATTGTATAAAGCATCATTTCAACAGAAGGGTGAGATATCACAACACTATAAAGGAATGCATAAAAATAAGTATACAACAAGTAATTCATGCATAGCCACACATTCCACATCTCACACCTTCACATAACAACAACAATCTTATTATATTATACAATCATGCATAATTCATCGCACGTATCAACAACCATCGTGTAGCACATACACTATTCATACAACTCAAACATCATACTAACAATAATGCAATGAGACAGACTCACATACTCAATGTATGTTGTATCAATATCTCTCCCGAATCCACACCATCTAGGACCAGAGCCACCTTAGAACTTAACCTTGTGTGAGGAAGCTTTTCATTGTGCACTTAAATGCGAGAAACCAACATTTCTTGTTAATTTGATTTTATAATGTTTAATCATGCATGGGTGTTGATGTGTGAAAGTTATAAAATTATCAAGGCATTTATTATTTTATTTTGAGAAAAACCACTTAAGCCAAATATATAATCAATCTACTTTGTGAGTGAGTGATCACTTGTTCACCCCAATTGAGCCTTTCTATCAAGATCCTTGTGATGATTGAATTGTGTAAATATTGAAAAGGAATAACAAATTCGTCATTAGGTTTTTAGAAAGGATATTGATTTTTGTTTGAGAAATGTTTGAACCCTAAACCTCAATGTGGTTGCTTTTATTCTTTCTTTGCTTTAGTGTATGGGAATATTCTTGCTACTATGTTGGGTTGTGTTCAAAGATGGGGAGATTTATGTAGATTGCTTGTTGTGAAAGAAAAAGTGGTTGAAAGAATAGAAAAAAATGAGAAATATGATTGGAAAAAAAAAGAGAAAAAAGAATCAAGGAATTTGAACTCTTAAAAAGAAAAAGAATTTAAAAGTCAAGGACATAAATTGTGTCGGCATAAGAGCTCATGGTTGTATGTATATCCAAGAAAAAAAATACAAGAAGAGTAAAAATGTTGAATTGTGTATGGGTGTGATGAATTGAATGTTCTCATGCGTTAGGCAATTTAGTTTCAATTTCCTTGAGAAATATCCCTTCCTTGTAACTAAGCCAAATTACAACACTGTCAATGCCTTGTGATTCTTACTTTGCACGTTTGATGCTTTTTGTATGATAAATACATGATTTGATCCGGATGTTGGCATGAATATTAGATTAGTGAAAAAACCCTTTTTGTTATTTCTCATATATTGATGAGTGTGTGTTTAGGTGTGATTCATTTTTGAGTTGTATTGTTTTGAAAATTTTATTATGTTGCACTTAACCATTGTTTCATACTTATGGTTGGATTTAATTAGTGGTAAGCATTATCTTGTTTGTTCTTGTTCATTTGAACCATAAAATTGTATTGTGAAAAACTTGTTGTTTCCTATTTTGTGGTTTGTCTTGGTTTTCTTTTAGTTGTAGAATTTTTGTTTAGGGATATATTTGTAGATAATTTTGTGTCCTTGGCACTCTATTTTTTATAATTAGTAGTTTTTAAGTTTGTAAATAGATGTAAATAAGCAATTATAAAGTTTTTAAGATACATCACTTTGTTTACTTAATTTTTTGCTCATTTTGTAGGTTTTGATGTTGGAACATTGGAGCATTGGAGCTCTGGGCAAGCTAGAGCCAAGAATGTGGTGCAATAAGTCAAAATTGCAAGTTTTGTTCAGGCTAGCGCACTAAACGCAAGTTGCAGCGTGCTTTTGGTGTTTTGAGCATTTGACAGAATTGATGTTTTTTTGGTCCTGCTAAGCGGTCTCGTCCCGCTTAGCACGGTCCACTGAAACAAAATTAGTGATTTTTGCGTTGAGCCCGCTTAGCGCGCCCTGACCGTTTAGCAGGACTCACTTTTTGGACACTTGCATAAATAGCTACTTTTGTGATATTTTGGCCACCAACTCTTGTACAACATACACAAATCGGATTTTTAAGGCTAAGAAATAACTTTTATCATTTTGTAACTCAAGATCAAAGATTTCTACCTCAAATCTTTGATATTTTCTTGTTGATGTTCATCAAGCTTCATACTTTCCTTGTTGAGCAAACTACCATGGTGATGAGTAGCTAAATCATTCTTGGTGTCAAGATTAGAGGTAGATAATCTTCCTTTTTGTATGTCTTTAGCTTGATAATTTGAATGTGAACATCTTGATGATAAATATATGGTGAAAATTCTTGTTTTATGATTTATATTTGAGTTGATCATTATTGAGAAGTGTGTTCATCTCTAGACCTATGTATTCACTTATCAATGAACACTTTCTAGATATAGTGTTGTGAGTTGATATTCACTAATATTGGGCTTGTAAAGTTATCAAATTAATAGTTAGGTAGAGAGATCATCTAAAGATCAATTTGATAAAACTCACATTTTGTTTTAGAGATGAAACATCTTGAGAGGATGTGATTATATTTATGATTAATGAGTTCACATACTTGATTGAGAAAATACGACCGAAAGAGACTATCGAGCCCTAATCTTGACACGCTTTTACCAAACATTTGAAACCTAAACTTTGTTTTTCTTAAACTTGTTATTTTGCATGAAATCGACATTTTCCGTTACGAAAACCAACATCAAACCCTTTTATGAAACTTAAGTTTAAAACGATTATAACTATAAAAGGACAGTAATATCACACCAATCCCTGAGGAAAACGATAAATTAAATACTTGTGTTGAAAATACATACAACAGAAAGCTCATAATTCGAGTCATGTACAAAGCATGATTCGAATCAAACTGGACATAACCAAACATGAAAAATGTGAAAAGTATTGCAATTCAAATTATTTGAAAGTGTGATTAAAGTCAAACTGGACAGTGACTAATAGGAGGTGCGTGATTCGAATTAATGCAACTTGTAATTCGAGTCACAATATTGCATGATTCGAATCAGTATAAAATGTGAGTCGTATCAGAGGCACAAAACTCTTCCTATTCTCCTCTATTTGATTTGATTCGAGTCATGCATTGTGAGTCACTCACAATAAATCTCAAACTTTCAAGTTTTTCAAAATAGTTTAATATTTCACTTCCAACATATAACTTGAATCTATATTACATATGGTTCTTGTTTCATTAACTCGGGCAATCGACTTAAACCATCAACAATAAATTAAAATTTAACCAATTGAATTATTCATGCTAAAAAATGAATCATAAACAATAAAAAACGAAACGAAAGCGATAAGATAAATAACAAAATTGTATTGGGGACATGTAACTAAAAAAAATACATAAAAATAAATTCCAACGAGTTAACACTTCACTTGTAGAGAAGAAAATAACTAGACCCTATTCTTGTCTTGGACCATAGTTTTGATTTTGATTAGTGACACACTAACATCTGTCATATTAATTCTTGCTTCAGGTGAATGCTCACAACAATTCAAGGCTAGACCAAAAATAGATGGCATATAAGTCAACATGTCATCGATTTGTTTTTCATTTTGTTGGATTAAATTAGAATCCACAACCTCCATAATTGAACTAGGCAATGATCCCATGATCCATGTTTTCAAACTTAGGTCTGCATCAAACATATCATCTGTTGGCTTTCTTCTGGTGAAGATTTCCATTAGCATAATTCCATAGCTGTATACATCTCCTTTTCTAGAAACAATTCCTTTAGAGCCATACTCTGCATGTTATCAAATATTCTTAAATATAATAAAAATAATTAATTTGTTAGAAACAAGTTAATATTGTCAACACTTTTGTTTGTTTTTTGACAAAGTAAAATAGATTAATTAGGACAGAAAATATAAAGAAGAAAATAAGTAAAAACTGTCAAGAAATGACCTGGTGCAAGGTATCCAAGAGTAGCCAAAGTCTGTGTATGAGTTTTAGATTGTTCTTCATCCATGAGCTTTGCAATACCAAAATCGCTAACACGTGCAACCATATCATCATCCAACAATACATTAGTAGGCTTTAGATCGCAATGAACCACGGGTGTTGAAGAACCATGATGCAGATATTCCAATGCAGAGGCAACATCTATCATTATATTTAACCTTTGCATGAAATTTAAGTAAACATTATCTGAATATAACCATTGGTCCACACTTCCATTTGACATGAACTCCATCACTAATGACTTGAAATCAAGATTTGAGCAACTGCTGATAATCTTAACTAAATTTCGATGTCTTAAATTTCTCAATGCATTGCATTCTGTATCAAAGCTTTTTGATTTTGCCTCTGAGTTCAAACCAATTACTTTTACTGCAATCATCTCACCATCAAGAAGTTTTCCCTGATACACAGAGCCAAAGCCACCCCTTCCAATTAGATTATCTTCATTGAATCCATTTGTTGCTTGCACAAGTTCATAGTAGGAAATTCTTCTTGGAGCCCCTAAAGTTGATAAACCTCTTTCAAGAATATTTTCAACCTTTTTTCTTTTATTAACTTTTAAAAGTATTATGCATGCAACAACCACAGTGATCGAAACAACTATCGGAAGTATGCATTTGAGTAATAAATTCTTTGCCAGTGATTTTTTTTTAACTTGTGTACCACATGGAGGTACTTGTAGGCGAGGATTTCCGCAAAGTGCTTCATTATGCATAAATGACTGAGCTGTGAAATTCTTGAAAGGTCCACCATCAGGAATCTCTCCTTGTAATCTATTGTATGAAAAATTGATGTTTCGAAGATACGAAAGAGATGTTAAGGTGTTTGGAATAACACCGGTTAACAAATTTTGGGACAAGTCCAAGGAGATCAAGCTTACCATGTCACCAAGTGATGTGGGAATCGACCCGTAAAGTTTGTTATGCGCTAAGGAAAGATTCTGCAAAGTTTTTATGAAACTGATTGTTGAAGGAATGTTGCTTGAAATTTGATTACTTGATAGATCTAATAGTATGATTGCTCTCAAGTTCCCAATATCAGGTGGAAGATTTCCCATGAAAATATTAGAGGACAAATTTACCTCCAAGATATCTCTAAGACCCCAAAGAGAGAAAGGTATCTTTGAGTTGAACTTGTTGGATCCTATGTGTAACTTTCTCAGAGAAATCATATTTCCCAAACAAGTTGGTAAAACACCAGAAAGCTTATTATTTTGTAGATACAACTCACTCAAACTCCCAAGTTCACAAAGCTTCTCAATAAATGATCCTTGCAATCCATTGTTGCCAAGATCCAACATCTGAAGTTTTTGTAACCCTTTGAATGTTCCAGGTATTGGTCCGTTTATATTATTCCCATTTAGAGAAAAATATAACAAGTTGCTCATGTTTCCAGCTTCTAGGGGAATATCACCATCAATTCCACATGATTCAACCATAAAGCTTTCTGAAGTTATGTTTCCAATTGACTTAGGAAGTCTGGATTGTATATGATTTCTTGATATGTCTATATATTTCAATTGTCTACAACTTGCCAGGAAAGTAAAGAGTTGAAGAGTATCATCTATGGTTAAATCGTTGTCATTTACGAGAAACCCTTGAAGGAACCTCAAATCTCCAAAAGCAATATTGGGTAGAGTTCCATTGAATGCATTGTAACTCAATTGTAATTGAATGAGCTTAGAAGCATTGAATATGTTATTTGGAATATTTCCAACAAAGTTGTTAAAACTCAAGTGTAGTTGTTGCATGCTAGGAAGGCTATATCTTGCATTTGATGGAATTTTGCCTGACATGTAATTTTGTTCAAGATGCAAGTATGTCAATGTAGACATGTTGAGGAGTTTGGAAGGAATAGAACCAGTTAAGCTATTGTTTGCCAATATTAGAAACTTAAGTTTGTCAAGATAGCCAATTTCTTCTGGTATCCAACCTGAAAATGCATAATAAGTGTCATTATAACAAAATTCCGAGATGTACAATATCAAAGAGCATTTTCAAAATGATCAATTAAGAGAACTTGATTCCAAGAAATTAAATTAAATTTATTTACTAAATGAAAGTAATTGAAAATGGAGAATACCTGAGAAAAAGTTCGTTGCTAGACCTAAGAATGTGAGAGATGTGCAGTTTCCAATTGATTGTGGAATGCTTCCTTCAAATTGATTGGAGTATAAAGTAAAATTTTCAAGTAGAGGAAGTTGGTTGAAAAAGTCATTTGGTAGACTTCCATTTAAATTGTTCTCATCAAATCTAACCACCCTCAAAGAAGTCATGTTGTGAAGGGATAGAATTTTGCCTACATAAGTGTAAGATTCACATCACAATTACATCCTTTATAAAAATTATAAAACCTTAGAGAAACAAATAATAAACAATCAATTTATGAATGCCAATATCTTACCCTCCAAGTTGTTTCCAGACATATGTAGTTCTCGAAGTTTGGTCATGTTTCGGATGCCACTTGGTATAGGTCCTTTGTTGAAACTATTGTATGATATCTCTAATTCTTGCAACTCTTTACATTGATGCCAAACACTAGGTATGTCACCAGAAAGATCATTATAAAAAAGATGAAGATATATAAGATTTGGAAGTCCTTCACAAATATTTGACGGAAGATTGCCAGACAGATTGTTATTACCAACATCAAAATCTTGTAACAATGAGTTGTTGAATTTAAACATCCAAGATATGTTGCCTGAAAGCTGATTATTGTCAAGGTCCATTGTTCTTAGCTGAGTAAGAGAGCCTAGTATCCCTTTTGGAATTTTTCCTTTAATTCAAAGTCGTAAAAGAAAAGACACAGATTTAGGATATAGTACTAAATTAACACCACAACTAATTAGAAAAATGCAGCACTTTCTTATTTATTCTCCACAAAAAGTTAAGTAGTTATTCATAGACTATAAACAGTATAGGATATATATATATATATATATATATATATATATATATATATATATATATATATATATATATATATATATATATATATATATATATATATATATATATATATATATATATATATATATATATATATATATATATATATATATATATATATATATATATATATATATATATATATATATATATATATATATATATATATATATATATATATATATATATATATATATATTCTTGTAATTTCACCCGTTCAATGGCTGGGTAGTTTAGAGCCTCATCCCCTGTGATTTTTTTTGCTCAGAAGATAGATGTCGAACACGTTGTTTTAACAATTGGTTTGATGAGTTAAATTAGAACATTGTCTAAACTGGTTCCTCAAATTTAAATCTCCATTTGAATCTGATTTGATCTTTACAATTGTTCAACAAATCATCTAAACAAATTGCTAAATAAAAGCAATAACAATAAATTAAATCTTCAACAGAAGATTACAGCAAGAACACAACAATTTGGCCTTTCTGTGCAGAGCCCGGATGTTCTGCCCACATGCAGAGATATCGTGTCCAGCACGTGTCCCTTCTACACCAAAATTCAGTTTAATCAAAATGATCAATATTGAACACTTTTCTGTGTTGTTGTTTTACATAATTTAGTCAACCCAAAAAGGAACAATACACTGTTATACTTGTGGTCTTGTTTAAATTTTTTCTATAATGGAGAAAAGGTATGTATTTCGAGTTCATCTATCAGATGAATTCTCATTTTGTCATATATTTCTTTTGAGGAATCTCAAATGGTCCCTTCTCTCTTTATCATTCTCCAAATTCTAATTTGAAGACTGAACTAGAGATCTCCCTCGGGTGATAGTTACAAGAGTGGAGGAGTTCAAGATTTATAGGTTTGTTGTGGTTCTTAAGTCTTAGGGCATGAAATTCGAGTCTAATCCATTACCTTTTAAAGAGTTGGATAAGAGAACCATAATTCTGTAGGAATTCTGGGAGCTTCTCATGTAAAGGGATTCCTAATTGGTGCAATATTCTCACTCTAAGTGGTTGAAGACGAGGGACGCGAGTACTTGGTATTTTCATTCATATTTAAAACGGAGAAGGTGGAGGAGTTATATTTACGTGTGGGTGATACCTTGATGGATAATGTAATTGAGGCATGCGGGGAGGTATTTTGGTTTCTTTTCTAATTGAGGTACCTTGGATGTGATTAGTTTCTAAGTGCTATTATCTATGGAGTTTGTGAATCTCTCTTCCAGTTTTATCTAACCAGAAGTGGACATCGGTGGTCTCAATAGATGATGATAAAAGTCTTGAGCTTGATGGTCTTAATTTTTGGTTTTTTAAGAAGTTTACAGAGCTTCTCTGAAAGGGCGTCTACATTGTGTTTAATCAATTCTTCAAGAATGCCACCTTGACCAAAATCTTGTTGTTCTACATTCTCATGCCTATTTCGAAGGTGGATTCTCATTTGTTTCTTAGGGAGTTTATACCTATTTGTCTATTGAGGTTTCTGTATAAGTTGGTTGCTAAAGTTCTAGAAGTTAGGTTAGTAGCAATGTGGATAAGTCCTTCCTTAAGCTAGCATAAAACTTTATGAATTATAGAGTAGGTTCCCTCCCTTTCAAGTACTTAAGACTCTCGATGGGAGAACATCTTAGGAAGATGTCTACTTGAGAGTCATTGATCATTCTCCTCATTGATAGGTTAGATTTAGAGAGGAATCTGTTTCTTAGTCATATGGGAGGGTTGTGATTTTAAATTTTGTGTTGAGATCTGTGAGATATTGGATTGAACTCTATTGGGTCGAAAGATAGTTTTTTGGTTTCGAAAGTTCGATAAAGTTGTAGCATGCAGTCGAAGGTTTCTCACATGCTGGTGTCAAAGTATTGTATGTTACAGTCGAAGAAGGATCAAGCATGCAGTGGTCGAAGAATGCTAAGATTGTTAGTATCGAATTGGGCCTGTTTGTTATGTTCAATTGTTTAAGTTAGTTTGTACCCTAAGTTATCTTGTAATAGATATTTGTGAAAAGTCCATCAGTTTAGTATGTTAGGATTATTATAAATAGCATACTAGTCTCTCGTCATTGCATATTGCAGATTCTAATTTAGGGTGAGAGGGTTATTTGTTATTCTTGTATACTTGTAATCTTTTTCTAAGAGAAAGTAAATAATAACAGTTAATAACCAATTCCTTGTTGTTCTTCTTGTTTTTTCCATCTTTCTACCCTTATTTGTTTCTTGATCATAAAGAAACAAGTTTATACTTGTTTCAAGGTATCATTTTTCACAATAATATCCATCCATAATCTTCTATATTTCTTTCATGAAGTTGTCAGCCTCTATGTTGATGAAGAGAGCTGGCTGCAGAGAATATTTATGTGGGGTGGGCTTAATTTGTGAAGAATATTTCTTGGATGCATTGGGAGGATATTTACAAATCAAAGGTATTTAGAGGTTTTGGGGTTTGAGATATGAGATACATTAATATTTTCCTCTTAGATGAATGTCGTTGGAGATCCCTCAAGGCTTTCCCATCTATATGATATGACATTATGGAGACTAGGTACGGTGCTTAGGTGTTCTTGTCCGCAGTGGGTGGTAGGGGGCATATAGGGTTTCTTTGTCGTGGTTGTAATGTTGGTGGTGTTTCCAATTATTTTGTGGATGGGGTTCTTAAGGTTATTGGTAATGGTATAAGATCCAAATCTTGGGAGGATGTGTAGGTGGATTACACCCCCATTTTGTCTTTCCTTCTGAAGGTTACTCCTAATCTCTGATCAGAAATGCCATATAGTTGATTTTATGGGGTCATTAGTTGAAGGTTTGGGGTTAAGGGTTAATGGTTAATGGTTTTGTAATTTAAATGGAGGTGTATTTTTTTCTAGAAGGAGAACACCTAAGTACATAGTTTGGTTCTCTTAGTGAAAGATAAGGCAAAGGCTTCTCAAGGGGATGTTTGAGCATGGAAGCTGAATGAGCAAGGAGGCTTTTCTATGAGGTCGATTTTTGAGCAAGGCTCTAGCTAAAGGTTAGAAAAGATAGTCTCCTTCTAGAGTGGTCTTTTACCTTGCAGCAATTGTATGAATAGGATCCTTATAATGGTGAACCTCATCAGGCATTAAGTTATTCTAGATCCTAGTGGCAAGTTTTGTGTTTTGTGTCAAAATCATATGGAGTCGGTTGATCACATTTTCTCTAGATATGGTTTTGTACTTGTTATATAGTATAGAGTTTTTAGGTGGTTTAGTAGAACTTTGGTCTTACCATTTTTTTAGTTGATCTGTTTGAGGGGTTCATAGGGGGTAAAATGTGTTGTGTTTGATCAAGATTTGATATTTTATGAGGCCATTTGGACGATTTGTAACTCACATATTCATGTTTTTTTGTGTGGGAAAATTTGACTTTGGATCAAAGGGTGAGCACAATTATTTGGGTATCTTGGAAGTTGATTCAACCTCATTTTATGAATTACTCGATCTCTTTTATGACATGGTAGATGGATACTCTTCTATACTTATAGCTTAAAAAGTGCACAGATTTTCTTTCGGCCTCTTTAAGCCTAAGGGTGGTCTCGTTCATCCTTTCTCAAGCTTGATGTTTTTCAAGTTGTTTCTTTGGTTTCAAATTCTTCTAGTGGTTCTTTGGGTTGGTTGTTGGTGGTGTTGCCTAATAGTTTTGGTGTTGCTCTGTGTTTTGGTTTCTCAAGATAAGAGATAGATAAGATAAATGCACAATATTATGCCATAATGTGTTGTTTGTTGACACAACATAATATGATGATTTAATCCTAAATCTTAAATTTGAGTCTCACTAGTTCACATTGTTATCTAGAATTTTAGTTGGGGTAGAATTTAGGATAAATAAATAATTTAGTTATTTATATTAAGAAAATTTAAAAATAAAAATTAATAAGATCCAAATACATAATGAAATAAATTTAATATTAAATTAAAAAAACTTAGATCCAAAAAATTATTTAGTTATTATTTAAATTAGATTATCTAAGATTAAAATTATTATTAAAAATTCCAAAACATGCATGAATATTAACTTATTTATAAATATAAATTATTTTATTGCACTAATAATTATATATATATATATACATATATATATATTATATATATATATATATATATATATATATATATATATATATATATATATATATATATATATATATATATATATATATATATATAATATATATATATATATATAATATATATATATATATATATATATATATATATATATATATATATATATATATATATATATATATATATATATATATATATATATATATATATATATATATATATAACAAATGTGTTGTCCTATTTATTAATCTAATCGCATATTTATTCAATATGTTGCCCTTCTACTAGATATCCCATCTTCATAAATATTAAGTTGCCCAATGTGGGAGTTGGAAAGTGATATGTTCTCATCACATAACGAATGTAATGAGTCTTAAGGAAAGTCGGTCATGTTCTT